TCGTAAATTATCCTTATCAGTGGGCCTATCATCGTTATTCTTTCATAACTGCTATTATCATTACCACATTACGAACCAAGCTTTCCTTTAAAAATTGAGTCATCAAACGTATTAAAAAACAGGTTTTATTAGGCCAGTCATAGACCTCACCTTTACATCAAACCGAAATAGCAAAGGCCCCAAAAAGACGAAAAAAAAGACGAGACGAGAAATCATCGAGAATGAATCGGAGGTCCGGAGCCGCGCATGGCCTCATGCTTAAGTAAAGAGGCATTGATTCATAGGCGGTCACCGAAGCGTGTGTCATTCCCTCACAGACCGTGATCGGAGGAGGGTTGCGTGGTCTCGTTCCAGCGATCCACGTGCTGTTTAAGACAACTTTTTTTTTGGTACAGTTTGGATTCTTGGTATAATTGACAGTTGAAGTGGTCCCTCTTGGAATTCTCTTGTTGGAGGAGCATTTTATTTTATTTTTTTGCATCATTCGTTCTTCCTGGGAATCTTCCTGGGAATCTCTGTGTCATAGAAAACTGCGGCTGTCGATTTTATTTTGAAGTTATATTCAGCATCAGTTAAAAGTTCTTGCTACCTGGCCTTTGCGAGAGCAAGACTAAGCAACGATGTTGTGGCCAATGTACGTCCTCGCGTTTGTCGCGGCCGGCGTGAGTGCCTCCGACGTCTTCCTGTACAGCCGGCACTCCTGCGACGACCTCATCCCGCGACACCCCGTGGCGATAGAGAAGGCCGACGCGATGATGACCAACCACGTCCAGCAGCCGACGCCGACGAAGAAGGCCGACACCGAAAACGCCAACGCCAACGCCACGACGACGTCCACCACCACCACGACCACCACGACCCAGCCTCCGCCCCCCGCCGTCCCCTTGTACACTGGCAGCGCTGAAGTCAAAGTCATGACGAGCGAGAACACTTACCGGCGGCTCAAGAGTCTTCGAGGTATGATTCCTCTTCTCCCCCCGATTTTTTTCTTCTCTCAGACGTTTTTTTTTTTTTTATCTTTCTTTCTCTCTTGCATCATCAGCCTCCACGCACCCCCGGCACTCTCCCTCTCGAGACGTCAATGCACTCAAAGATGAACCAGATATCTTTCCTTTTCTATTCTCCTCCTTATATTGTCTCCGGAACTTTTCTGTTACAAACGACAATGACTTATATCGTACAGTTTGACAGATGACCCAGCTTACCGTTCATGAAAGATGAAAAGGTCATTCCTCTTCATCTATCTTCAATCTTACTTCGATCTTTCTGTCTCTCACGTTCTCTCGTCACCAGCTTCCTCCTCATGTCTCTGACTCTCTCACTCTCTCTCTCTCTATAAAACTTATTGCACTCAGCGCGCTATGAAAATTTTTAGGATATTAAGAAATGAACTATCTATCTATCTATTATCTATCTATCCTCCATCTCTATATATAATATATATAATATATATATATATATATATATATATATATTATATATATATATATATATTATATATATATATATATGTATCATATATATATATATATATATTACATACACACATACACACACACCACATACACACACACACATACACACACACACACACACACACACATACACACACACACACACACACATATATATATATGTACAAAAATATATATACACATTTTTCGCTTCATCCACCGCATTTCCTTCTCTATTACAAATGACAGCCTGTCATAGCTTGTCAAATTACCCATGTTTGACTTACCGAATGAAACATTGTGACAGCCAATGACGAGACGACATCATGACACATTACAAACCATTACTCTTGTCAATGCTTCTTAATCGCGGGAGGAAGCAGGCGGGGGAGGGAACTCGAGAGAGGTTTTGAATCAATAGGACGGACAGCTGGCATATTTTCGGTCTGACATTTCATGGAAGAAGTATAAAAATGCCTAGAATATTGTCGATTTACTTTTTTGGCTTATTTTTAAACTCTTCGTTTCCCCGAACCTGTCCCTGTTCTTTATTCGGAATGCTGTGCACAAATAAAGTGATCTAACTACTCTTACGGTCTTTATGGAATGACGGAGAAAAAGCAGATCAATAGAATTAGTAAGGTGATACATCCAGGGAATGGTATTTAATGAGAGAAACGCAAATACCAGGATCTATAAAACTTTTCTCTCTCGGTGGCACTGGCTACCTCTTCGGTTTCCAATATCTTATTTTTATTCTATTTCCTTATCAGGTATTATATTACCTTCTACTGAATCTGTTCTTCCTCATCTTTCGCCATTTTCAATCACGTCATCATAGTCAGTTTTCCAGTTGAGACCATGATCCCTCCCTTTTCTTCTTCGCTGACTGGGTCTTTAGGTACTACGTGCCTCAATCCTGATCCTATTAGATACCAATATCTGGCTATTTATTAGATCATAGCTTCCTATTCCCAAAGCATCTTCCCGTTCAGTTCTCGGTTGCATCCAAGGCACTTAATGGTTATTTTTCCTTTCGGCGAGGATAACCAAACACCTTTTCATTTTATTCAAAACTCTTTTCTGATATTCGAATGCCTTATTAATAGTGTTTGAGGTCTAAGATAGAAAACATCTGATATGGATAGTCATTCTTACATATTCATAGCCAGATCATAAATAGATGATCAAGGGAATTATGGATAAAGACCATTAATTTTTCAAGAGAACCATCGGTTAGACATCACTATTCGTTGTCTACATATCTGGAAAAAAGAAAGAAAAAAGAGTCCCGGGCATTAACGCGATGGTGCAGAAAAAGGATATTGCATACAATTTAAGAGTACAATCATATCTAATCCTAGGTCCCGTAGTATTCCTTTAATATACGACAAGCCACGTACTTGCAAAGAAATAAGATGTACATTCTCTACATCAGGGGTCCTTAACCTTTTTAGAGTCAAGGGCCTTTTTAAGAATATGATGAAAGCCATGGACCCCTTTCCCGACAAATATTCACATAAACACAACTTTGCATGTGATGTGAATAATGGACTTTGTTTATTGAGATGTGGTACATGGAATACACAAAGTATTATCAAGCTTTAAAGGAAACAATCTAAAAAAAATATTAATATAAATGTAAATTTTTATCTGATACTCACAGAACCCCTGAAACCCATTCATGGACCCCCTATAGATCAGTGGACCCCAGGTTAAGAACCCGTGCTCTACATTGTTAATGTTATCTCCACATATGATATTTTTTTCTCTTTCGAGGTCTAACTGTTTCCTCCTCCCCCCCCTCTCGTGCCCTTTTACCCTCCCCCCCAAAAAAAAAAGAAGAAGACTTATCTCCTCTCCCTCATCCCCTTCTCAATAAATAATTTCTGACCTAATTTTCCTCCTCCTCCTCCTCCCTCCTTTACCCTATCGGAGAAAGAGAACCATCCATATTTGATCTGCGCACAGCAATCGCTTCGTGACATAGCGGAATTCGAAGATAAAACTACTACGGTGACCTCGTTCTCGCATCATGCATGTTGCGACCTGTTCTAAGTCTCTATTGAACTCAAGGCAGGAGGTATTGAGTGGTCAGTCAATACCTAGAACAAATGACACGTTATCCCCCCTCCGTCACATATTGATCTTTCGCGTAACATTTCCTGTGGCGGTATGATACGTATCGTATAAGAGTCAAGGGTGTCTATTGTATTCTTGCAACAGGGCGTTCTGATCACTCTGTATTGATCAGCCAGTGGAGGAAGGTATGAATAAAGAATGAAAGTTGGATGCGGTAGTGCTTATGTTAAGAAGATTCGATCACGTCCTTGAGAAAATACAGCGAAAGGAAAGGGTTATGAATATTCATTGTAATTAAGCGTTGGCTGAAGGTAGAAAGACAAATAGTGACATTTTGATTAATTTAAAAATCGAGATTTCGTACTTTCTCATTTATGTCAATAGATTTTTATGATAACGATCATGATAAAGAGATAAAGAAAGGCCTTTTTTAAGAAAACAATCAATCAGTCAAGGGAAAATCTGAAAAGTTGTCAAGTAACAGAATCAACACAATTTTGAAAAATAAAAGAATTAAAGATTTCCTAGTACGCAGTCCATGTGTATAAAATCCTTTTTCCTGTTATTATCACTCGCTTGATATACCCGGTAATAACGAAATTCTTTGCACAGCTGTATGATAAGAACGCGTGATAAAACAAATTTGTAAAACAGCAAAATATACATAAATTGAGAGAGCAATAATCACAAACCCAAAAAATCTAAATATTTGCACAATCAGTTCTTACCCACTTTACAATTATTCCCCTCTTTAAAACGAGGAAGCGAACATGATGGAGGTAGGAGGCCCGCACAACCCACAAAAAAAATATATAAACAAAACTCTACGGTAAGACACTGCCACATTTCACTTATGTCTTCTCTTGTTCCATTTTCCCTAAGGTCAATCCCATGCATTTCGGAGGACCTTGCTTCTGAAAGGTCTCTCACACAGGAAGTTCCCGGTCTGTTCCACGTCACTCTGACTGACTGTGTTTAATTTTGTCCATTTGCTGGTCCTGAGTGTGACCTTGCAAATTCATTTAAAACCATTTGTAAGTATGAAACGTTTGAGTTTAGGTAATGTAAGTATCTGGAAAGCTTATTAATTTATAAAGCCAAATTTTATTGTTTTATTTTTTTATATTATATCCTATCGATTGGTAACATTATCTAACATGAGTGCGGGTACTGATACAACGTCAAAACGAACGCAATTTAAACGATACAAAATAAGTTAACCTATATAGTAAAAGTAATGATGCAATTTATAGATCAAATACATTAAAACGTACTATTTAATGTTAGAGAAGTATCGTCTCCATATGAACCATATGAATCAGCTATAATTGCCAGTATAGATTGCAATCTGACCCAATGAAAACCCATAAATTCTTTCAAATTTGAAACCTAATTTCTACTAAGAAATGTTTCACACATAATGTGGAATTTATTCTTTCTTTAAAGATATGGATGAATAAAAGTATAGATAACAACTTGATCCACTAAAATATTTAGATTCAGCTCTGAAGATTATCTACTAAAATCATAGTAATAAACATAATCAAGATAATTTTTAGCTATAAAAGATAGTTTGCAGTTTAAAATGTTCCATTTAGGGGACCGTCTGCTTTTTTTTTCGATTTTTTCGAATTTATCTTGCCGATTTTGATGAAAACTCACACCTTTTTATTTGGGCCCCTTCCCATTGCCTGTGGTCGATTTTTTTTCGAAATCGCCCCGAAACAGTTTTTTGAATTATTGTCAAAAAACCGAAAAATATGAAATTCGCCATTTTGAAAATGCAGCACCTGGGTCAAAGGATTCAGACTTCAGAAACGGCAAGACATTCAATTTTATTTGATCTTTGCACAGAACTACCCTATATCTACAACTTGATCGAGAGCGTTTTTTCGATTTCGAAAAAAAAAAGTAAAAATTTTCTTACATGCGCCACTTTTACAAGAAGTACAGGCAAAAACTGCGAAAACGCTCTCGATCACGTTGTAGATATTTATTTTTCTACAAAATGAGCCATAATATGTTAATTTTGGACAATGGTGTGCCCGGAATCCTTGACCGCACCGCCTAATGGAGTTCCGAGATATTGGCATTTTGGCGTTTCTCTATCTTCCAAGGCTATCTTGATATCAACAAAAACAAGGCATAAGAATTAGTCTTCCTACACCATAAATCCTCTATCTATCTACCTGCACTTCTGATTCCGAAGTCTTGCGGACATTGCCAGCACGTAACGGTTTCTCAAAATCTTACGTATAGTGCGGAGTGTGGCCCAGTGATCGGGGGTCATAGGCCTACATGACCATTTTTTTAAAATTTTCTCAAAAATCCCAAAGAAAATCATACAGCCATTCTGATTTCATGTTGAATAGAAACTATCTTTCTACTATATATGCAGAAGCCATTTTTGAGAAGTTGACCTTACTTTTTTCTTGGTGAACTATTTCCGAAGGTGACTATTTAACACCCTAATAGGAGATTTTGGAAACATATGTCACTTTTACAAGAACCACGTGAAAATATTGCAAATCCTCATGGCAGTATGTAATAGAACTATTATTCAGCTACAAAATGAGCCATAATACTTTAAAATCGGACCGATTATACGTGTGCTATGCGTAAAATATGAAGGACCTATAAAAATGCGATCTTATTCCTTTTTATTATGTTTACATTTACATGACCACTCATGTACAGAATTACTTGTATTTTGATATAATTATCTATCATATACTATTTATTGATTTGCTTAATGAGGTTTTACAACGTATAATATTTGTCGAAAGATAACTTTTCTCCAGTCGGACGGGTACCAAACACATACTTTTTCCCCACGCGACGGGGCCGTCCTGGACCGTGAAAATCGCTTTTTAAATCTGCGGAATAACTCTACGGGGTCACGTAGCCAAATTTCACTCTCAGACCCCGTGGAAAGTCGAAAAAACAATTACATTGGCCGATGTGAACTATGTATATATAGGTATATGATGAGCACATATAGATAATTTTCGTGTACCCCATGACCTTTTGTTTATTTATATTGTTACTACGTTTGTTTCTTTGTTTGTTTATTGATTGTTATTTGTTGTTTTTTTTATTATTAGTTTGTGTTTTCTAATATTCTAAAAGTTATGAACACATTTTAACGAGATTTTAACCAAAAGTGAGTTTTAACCTAACTAAGACGCTTATTGCAGTTTGGTGGTGATGCGGACCATGGTTTGGATCCAGGAATTTTTTTTTCTAACTCGAAAAGTTATGAATAGATTTGAATAAAATTTTAACCTGAGGTTGTCTTAGCCTAATTAATATTTCCATATAATTTTTGGTGGTGATCCTGAATATTTGGCAAAACTACCCCCCATGGGTGGGGGGGAGGTTTGCATTTTCGAAATTTTTTTGCTCATAGATCAAAGTAACTATGTATGATGAAAACATAAAGATAAAGAAAATACACCATATGAAAAACATATCATTGTTAAGTTATTTCTATGGAAAATTTCTTATTGCCGTTTTTTGGACGCTTGCCGGATTTTTGAATTATTCCGAAAAAAAAGAAGGTTGGTCTCATCTTATGTGAAATTTGATAAAGCTTTCAGAAATAACCCTCATATTTTTATTATCTCTAATCATTGCGTCAGAATTGCGATTTCAAAGTACCATCAAAAAAATAAATTTCGGTCCGACATCAAAAATCGCTGCTACCACCTAAAAAATAACGGTCGAGCCTGAAATTTTTCAGGGGAGAAGCGGGGACTAGAAACTACTTGCAACTGCATTAAAGTCAATTTCGGCAAGAGGGGCGAAAATCGCCGAAAAATCAGCAGAAGGTCCCCTTTACCAGTCAATCTGAAAGGGATAAATTCATGTCGATATCATTTTGTCATCCTAAAGTGACCTGAAATTTAAAGCAGAATTAGGTAGGGTAAAATTACCTTCACAGCTTGCAGAATTTTCTCCAAACCCTGGCTAAAGACTGCTCCGTTTAGCACGACTATTTAGATATTTTAAAATGTTTTTCCCTTAATGAATCTAAATTCCCAACGAAGTATGTAAGAGTTACGTCATGTGTTTACAACAAGTCCGTGTGAACGAATGAGACTAATTCTTCTTTTCTACTAAGCTGTAGACATATTGAACAATCCTGCAAGTCCTACTTATCGGTAAGGGTTAAAAACAACCGTAAGGAAAGCACGCTAACCGCACAAAAAAGTTCTTATTATGAAAAGGGAGTGTTATACTGATATGGCTGACGGGAGTGAGTCGATACACTGAGCTTAGAATTATTACTCTGGAAGGTGTATTGTAAAGGAGGACTGACAAACAATATGTGAAGTTCAAACGCACTAGAAATTTCAAACAGTGATAATACGAAAATATATATGAAGAGCAAAATCTGGGGAAGATTCACACAGCTAATTTGATAAGATTTAATGAGATTTAATAATAAGATAATAAGATAACAATAATAATAATAAGATTTAATAAGATTTAATAAGATAATAAGATAATAATAATAATAATAATAATAAGATATAAGATAAATAATAATAAGATAATATAATAATAAATAATAAATAATAATAATAATAAGATTAATAATTGATTATTTAATAATTTAATAATTTAATAATTTAATAATGATATTTAATGATAATAATATTTAATAATAAGATTTAATAATTTAACAATTAAATAATTAAATAATAATAATTTAATAATAAGATTTGATAATAATAATATTTAATAATAAGATGTAATAATCTAATAATTTAATAATTTAATAATAAGATTTGATAATAATAATATTTAATAATAAGATGTAATAATTTAATGATTTAATAATTTAATAATAAGATGTTATAATTTAATCATTTAATAATAAGATTTAATAATAATAATATGTAATAATAAAATTTAATAATTTAATAAGATTTAATAAGAAGAATAATAAGATTCCCACGTAACTAACAGCTGAATGAGGGATCTCCGTAGTCCTGGCCTTTCCTACAGTGACATTACCAATATAGCCTTTTATTATGAAAGTAGAATTAGGAATCATGATGAAGTTATGAGATGTAAAGGTGATCAGGCGATGAACTGATAATGGCGGCTCGTAACCCATTGGAATCTTCCACATCCCAGAGAGACTGGATCGCTGCAAGTACAGAAGAAGGTCAAGCAAAATGTCGATTATAACGAGGCGAAGGAATTAGTTCAATGGAATGCACGTGGTACTTTAGCCTGCCTGTTCATCGACAAACCTAAAAAAACCTAAAACACGTGAAAGTTTTTTTATTTTCATATAAAAAAGTCTGAACTTATAAAAATTACAAAATGTAAACAGGGTATTTTCTTAACAGCGACGTTGTTCCACCTTAACTGTAACGAATATTGAGTAATAACAGTTTAATTTGATAGTGATTACAGTATTGATCACACTATTTTGAAATATTGAACACTCAGTACAGTGGAAATATGCAATGATGTAGTTTCAGACATAAAATCATAAATTATCTGTTTATTTATTCACTTACGCATATCGTAATTTATGATTGATAGAATCGTATTGCGTTAAAGCATATGCATGCACCTTCGATTGCAGCTTAAGCACGATAAAAGCCGTAACCATCCAGGTCTTGAAATCTATTCGCAGCAGTAAGAAACAACGATATTTCATAACACGTTCACTGCTTAGAACATACATTTATACTCAACATACAAATATACATACATATATGTATATTCATATTATATGAATACACACACACACACACACACACGCACACACACACGCACGAGCACATACACATACAGATACACATACACACACTTGAACGGACTGTTCAAGAAAACAAACCTTTTATCTCCTAAATACAATTCCTTTTATATAACTTCCCTAAGCCTGATATTTCTTGTTAAATCTTGAGACATTTCACATTTCATTATCTTATTTTCTCCTGCTTCTCCTGACCTTCATCTTCCATTTCTCCTTCTTGCATTATATATCAATTCCTCCCTTGTGTAATCATTACTCTTTTTTCTTTTTCTTCCGTTTCTTTTGATTTTGTATTCTCTTTTTATCGTCTCTACTTCTTTCTTTCTTAGGCACACTAATGTATAGATGAATATTTATATAAAGATGAATTAATTGATCGGGTGTAAGTTTTCACATATCATGAAGATACTAATAAATGCGAATTTTACTCAACAGAATCCCCTGTCAGAATTCTTGTCTCTACCGAAAGATTTAAACTGACTCAAATTTATTAGTGTCAGACACAACATAGGTCCAGTTATTTTAGGTAGATATTATCAGATGATGTAGAAATCCGTCTTTTCATGTTTCATGATTGATAATACACGCTCAGGCACAGACGAGCAAAAAAAAATACACACACAAACACATCTGATGGCACACACACCAACACAGACAACAAGCAAACACACAAAACACACACACA